GGTGTCACAAATTATCACAAATTAGTCACTAAATCCCTAAAAAGGTTTCAAGGCAATCGCAAAAATTTGCCAGGCTGGATAGGGGGAGCCTTTGATGGAACACTTCATTTCATAAGAGATCTGTATGTATTCGAGAAACTTAAAATTAAACTTTAATCAATTAAAGTAAGTAAAGTTTTTACACGCATCAAGGGATAAGCACGCATTTATTAACGGTTTCGAAAATTTCTGAAATATCAATTCGAAATTTGAATTTTTTTTTTTCTTGCATATTCTATCTTGATTGCTGTAGATTATGTCGACATTGAATACTTACCAATAACCTCAACCCTATCAAAAATTCGTGTGTATGATAACATTTATCTGCCAAACCAGAATGAAATTCATTGTTACCCGATAACGAATTTACCGAAACCCGTCGATCTATATGCACCTTTTCCATTGATTCTAACCAATCCGCCGAATCCACCACTACGTATTTCATCTAGAGACAGTGCAAATATAAAAGAGTACAAGAAAAAATATTTGACTAATACTATTATAAAAAAAATTGATAAGAGTACTACAATATCTGCACTTAATCAAAATCATTGTCCAACCTTAGTCCGAAGCCGTTCAACAAATGGCATAACATCGTATAACAGTAAAGGAAAGAGTTTTGCGAACAATTTACGAAGACCGCGTATGAATTCAATGAGTCCAACTTCGCGTAAGTTTGAGAAATGTACATTCTATTTAAATCCAATTGCATTCGGTCGAAGTATTTCAAAGGAACGTACCTTTGCCGAAGAAAAAAAGAAGCAAGAGGAACACTTGCCAATGTGTCGAAGAGTTTGGACAGCTAGCACGAATATTTTGCGTGATCCATTTCTCCAATCATCTAAAGATGTACGTGAAGCTGTTCGTACAACATATCAAAATCCACAAACTAGAGAATGCCTCAGAACAAAAATTTGTCGGGGTAACATAATCAAGACATCGGCACTAACATATGCAAAAGACAAATTGTTGGAAAAATCGATTAAAAAAGATGAAAAATCGTCGAAAATCCCACCACTTGAAACGAAATCAAAAAAACATGTGAAAAAACCATTTGTCACCAAATCATATATGTTGAAATCGTTTGCAACGGTACCTTTTGAAACAAATCACATTCCACGGTCCAAAAAAATTACGAACACATCTGATCTGGATAGAAATAAGTCTTCTTATTCAATTGACTCGAACAGCTTAAGAAAACGTATTAGAGATCAACCACATAATATAAAATCTATCTCATCTTTTGTGAAAACTCCACTGGTAACAATCACCAACAAATCATGTAAAAAACAAATCGAATCTAAATTAGAATCAAAATCAGTACAAGACGAAAAATGTAAAGATTCTGATGTTAATACTAGGGGAAGTATTCCATGTCATACGGGCCTTGAACGTAGTAGCAGCTTTATAATGGTCGAAAGAAATGAACGAATAAAATCAGAGAACTTATTCTCAAAAAAGGTTGTTGCAAATACGACAAGAGAGAAAGTTATAGATGAAAAGAACATCGGCCGAAACGTTTGTTATAAAAATGTTATTCCTCGATCAATCAATTATGATAAAATACGATCGACAGGAGTTTATTTGATGCAAAAGCGACCCGTAACCAGATCCAAATTCAAAGAATTAGATATACTCCATTCACGTCAAGCTCACAGTTTAAGTCCATATCATCAAGTATCAGAAGAAAAATATTTTAATAGTATGGATAATTCAAAATACCAATCTAGTGGTATTGATAAAGACGTTGAACAGTGTGAGTTTAAACTCGATTGTCATTATCAAGAACGTAGCAAGAGTGAGCCACGTTCAATCAGATATGTACAAAATATGAAAACCAAACATAATGTGACCAATTTTGCGAACAAAAAAAAGGAACAGTCATTTTCTCCAACGCGGGAATTTCGATCGCCATCAAGACGTCGAATTCAAAGTTTTCGTAATCGAAAACCGACAGATTTTAGTAGCCTTACGCACTGTGGATTGGCTCATTTGACAAGAAGATATTCCTTATCCGATGATGAAAGCCGTTTGGACATGTACTTACATGAAATAGGACAACCCGAAAAATTTAAAGATTTAAATCGCTTTTATTCAAAAGTAGAACGTGTTGGTGTGTTAGAGCGTACAACCTCAAATATCGATTTACATCCCATTAGGAAAGAAAATGAGCTCATTGATTTTAATGTATGGAAAAAAGTTAAAAATTATAAAAGTGCGGAGAAAGAACTACATTCATTAGTCGACAAATTGAAAAGAGAGGAGCGAGAAAAAGACTTCCTCTTTCGTTCAAAATATCCAGAAGATATAAAATGGAGACATGAAAATGACAGTGGGTTGCGTATGAAAGAAAAATCAGTGGAAGATTTAAAAAATGTTTTTATTAAAAAATCAGTACCAAATGAATTGGACAATACAGGTCAAAAATCAAAACGTCAATATGGATGTTCATGGTCGAGCGATTCGGTGATTGATCTATCATCAAAAATGTTTTACAAGTACAACTCATACGAAAATTCAGCCAATTCAAGTATAAAAGGATGTTTCGGAATCAGTCGTAACTTGATCAGCACACTATCAAAAGATCAAATTATTAAAATTAAAAAACAACTTAATGAAATTTACAGCAACAACACAACAAGAATTTTAAAAAGCGAAAAACCTGTTGAAATCATTATTAACGGGAATGAAATACGTAAAATTAGGCCAATATCTCTACTTGTTCGTTGTAATTCGCTAGCTGACGAGAAGGAATTACTCGGATCTGTATTGCAAGGGCAAGAAAATCATTTTAAAACCAGCAATAAATCAGGTCCAAGAAGCGCCTTTGAAACAAGCTTTCCTGTTGAAGATGAAAAACGAAAATTGTTGCAGAAGCAGTTAAGAAACGAAATGCAAAACAAATTGAAAGAACGTAGTACAAAATTGCTTCGACCACATTCAACTATTGATATTGCGGAGAACAACAAATCACCTTCAAATGATTCAAAAAATATTTTAATTGACCAAAAAAAAGGAAAATTAAAAGAAAATAAATCGCAATTTCGAACTATAATGACCGACAATATTGAAGATAAAGTTAAATATAGCAAAAATAATGAAATATCTAAAAAATCCTTCAAAAAACATGCTATGGATTTTTCAAAAATTGAAATAGCAAATGAATCCTCCGAGAAGATAAAACAAAAAATAAAATATTTCGAGGAAAAAAGAGTAGAAGAATTACCAAAAACAATATATTTACCACGAGATGATTCGTCACTTGAGGATATTGAAGTTATTCGTGGCATTGAAGATAAAGTGAAGGCAAATCAAGGTATACATTTACCACAGAATCACCTCTACGTAAAGGGATTGAGTAGATCAGTTTCGGACTTGAAGGAGTTTTTTGGCGAGAAAGAGAGTGTTCGTAGATTTATTGAGTACCGAAGTTCATCGTCAATGAACATTAGAATGCAATCAAAAAACATGGAAGATGCTGCGAGCACCGAAAACTATTTTCGAAGCCGCAGCATATCACCAATTTCTGATTCAATTCATTCAATTTTGAAAAATCGCCACAATGATAATAGTAAATTGACACATGAAAGTTTAACGCAAAAACTAACATGCTCTTCTCGATATCCAATACTATCGGCACCACCGCGTCGCTTTAGCAGTGATCCAACACTTCATGAGACAGTAAAAAGCCAATCAAAGATTGCTCTTAAAAGTAGTGAAATTAGTGATGTATCTTATTATAAACACAAATTTGAAATGAAGAATTCCACGTCATCCAAAGATCGTACCCAAATAAAATACGCAACAACGTCCACTCATCGAGATATATTAAAAAAAGAACATCGTTTGATGCCACACATTGATATAATCAGTAAAACTATAGCTTTGAAAGATGCGATAAGTCGTAGTTCAACATTAGAGCCATCGAAAAAAACTGTCGTATCATCAGGCGAGGTTGACAGAATTCGACATAAATTTGAAATGAGAAAATCGGATTCCTTCGTTTCGTTAATTGGGCAAATGTATACTTCATCACCAGATATCAGTGAATTAAGGGATATATCCAATTATCTATCATCAACATGGATTGCTCACAAATATTCAAAACGAGGTGACAACGCACGTTCGGCGACTGAACCAGATAAAACACCAACCAATCAAGAAATTAAGCGGAAACAAGTATATCGTTTAGGTTCCACGTCACCACAACCATCAAAAACTATGAATGATATCTTGGGGCCCCTATATAATATTTTCGCCGATAAATATGATGCTACGAAACATCGACCAACTCATCGATATGTACCAGTTGACACTCGATTAGAGGCTAAATACTTATTGCATCAGTTGAAACAGAATATTGATAAAAAATTTAAGGAATCTATACACAACAAAGGTTAGAACACAATATAAAACTAGTTCGCTTGATTCAATAAAACATACAAAATATGAATACAGTTTACATTTCAAGTGAAATGTCAATATAAAAAGTCTGAATTATAAACAAATTTCTTACTAGTGAGTTTATTATTAAGAAATTTATATTGGATTGGTTATAAACTTAACAACTTCATTCTTTGCATGTATCTTATGTATTTATAAAAATATTTTTCATAAATCACTCTTTTAATATAAATTAATGCAAGGAAAGAGAAAGCATCATACATCCGCAAGGGGAGGGGGTATTTTTTTCAACGCAAATTTCGAATTTTTGGACTGAAAACTGAAGATTAGAAAATGGTCATTCTTAAGGTAGTTTTGGACGCTCTATCGATTGGCATCATTATTTTTTTTATCCTGACCCTGCCCTCCCCCTTAATCGGGGGGTTGTCAAGGAGTGGAAAACCCCCCTAGACCCCCCTCATACTCAAGTTATTTTTCATTCCTCTATCGATTGGCATCATTGGTTTTGACCCCCCAATGCACCTCTTACCCAGAGGTGCGCACTGGGGGGGATTCAGGGTTTTACACCCCACCTAGCTTGGTCACGTCCGGATTTCCGGGTCTAACTTTACCCCCCTCAAAATTTCATCACGTCCGGATTTCCCTCCCCCAATGATTCAAGTACATTTTCTAAATACACATTTTTCTGTATATTCATTACAAAATTGCTTTGTTTTTTTCATTTTCTGGCTAGTTTTGTAAAAAACTATCATTTTTTGAGATAATCGAAAGTACGTCATATTATTGAAACTCATTCATTATCATTTTCGTTCTCAGTCAAATCGAAAGTCAATCTTAATACAAGCGGTTTCAGGTTTTCGGAAGAAAATCCGGATTGACCCCCCCCCAAGAATTGTTTATTTTCTTGACCCCCCCCTTCCAAAAATCCGAAATTTGACAGCTATCCCCCCCAAAAAAAAAATGCGTGCGCACCTCTGCTCTTACCCCCTAGGCGGTGTTCTGGTTTGGAACCTTCAAACCCCGATTTAAGGTCTTTGGAGTGGAAAAACCCACATGACCCTTCACCCATACCCAGGGTATTTTTCAGTGCTCTATCGATTGGCATCATTGGTTTTGACCCCCCAACCGACCCCTCCTCACTTTGTGGGGCTACCTATTTTTCTTACCCCCCAAATATTTATAGACTCCCATTTGAGGGCCAAAGACATGAAAAACACCCCCTATACCCCCTCATACTCAAGGTATTTTTTGATGCCCGATCGATTGGCATCATTAGTTTTGACCCCCCCAACACCCCCTTACCCCCTTTTTGGTTCCTATACACCGACCCCGATTTAAGGTCATTGGGGGGAAATACCCCGGGGTGTGTTCCTACACCCAAGGTAGTTTTCAGTGCTCTATCGATTGGCATCATTAGTTTTTTGACCCAAACTCCTTATTCCGTATATACACCCTCCTCTATCTTTACCCCAATTTAATGCTCGGACCAAAAAATTATGCACTATAATGTTGTTCAGAATGATGAGAGAGATTTTTTGGATCACCTGCCCTCCAAGTCACCCCACCCCCAGGGTCGGGGGTCAAAAAACCCCAAGATGTGATTTTTTTACCTGAAACCCCAAAATTTGGACTCAGCGTGCCAAAATACCTTAGAATTGATATATTTCTCATCCAATATTGTGTCTAGCCCCAGTGCCCTCCGTTTGGGGTCAAATCCTACAAAGTCGATTTTTCACTTTTTCGGTCCGGAATTTTGCACCAAAATGTATGACCAACAATAGCTAATTTTTGGCGTACATTTCATACATTAGCAGTGAAGAAATTTTTTACTAGTGGCGCCGCCACATTTACGCGCCCATCACTTATTTGACAACATCGGAATTTTCCACTCATTGACCCTCAAATCAGCGTCGGGCAGATTTTCAGAGAAAAAAAAAATGACAACCCCCCGATTAAGGAGGAGGGCAGGGTCATGATAAAAAAAATAATGATGCCAATCGATAGAGCGACAAAAACTACCTTAAGAATGACCATTTTCTAATCTTTAGTTTTCAGTCCAAAAATTCGAAATTTGCGTTGGAAAAAATACAGAACCAACCTCCCCCCCCCCTTGCGGGCTGAATTTCAATTAGCAATTCTCTCTTCTTTTTTCAAAAATACTTTGTATTATTTTTTACCTGTATTTTGCAATTCTTGGCGAAGAATTCGAAATAGTTCCACCTCAACCACCACCTCCATCAGTCATAGGTGCAATAAATATTAATACTGAACATCCCAACCAAAAGTTAGGTGAGTTACTCAGGAGAGAATCACTAAATAAGAGAATGAAAATATAAAATGATTGAAATAACATATGTCCATAAAGTCTTGGCAGTATATTCAGGCGTTCATTGCGCTATATCGAATCATGAATGAAGTGCGGATTGTTTCTTTTGCTTTGATAATGTTAGGGGACTACTATATAAGGCTAGAGACGTCGACAAACCTGACTTTGATAAAGGGGTGTTTATATGGTAGGTGTTTTAGTGCCATTATTCGAAAATTTAGTGCTGAAACTTAACGTTAAACCTCCATTAATTGCTCTATTATCAACCAAATATTGTCAAAATCGATAGATTTCGTTGAGAACTATCTGACTAAAGACAAAATTCAGCTTTGCAAGCAAAAAAAAACCACAATAAGGGCTCACTTCCTAAAAAAAAGCATTGTAAAGTGAATGTGCAATTCGATGGCCTATGAATAAAGGTTTATATCAATAAAAACGAATTTAATATTGTATGTTTGCTGTTCAAATGGCGAACTTCTGAATTTACTGTCAAGACTTTATGGACATATGTTAATTAACAAATAACTCAGCCATAGACTAGTGGTTAGCGTGCCAGGTTTGTGAGCGTGA